GATACTTCTGCGAAGCAGATGGACTCTTCTGTTTCAGTTAGTTACCAGGCAGAAGTGCTCATCTTTTGGGAGCAGACAAGGACTGGAGGCCTCATGTTGAACTGGTAATACACTGGTCAGGGACAAATGTGCAGTAAATGTTAGTGTTGGTGGATACGGGCGCAGAATGTAGCTGATATATGGCAACACAGTTGCTTCCAGGGGCCACAGTGAATGTTGAATGGCTATGGAGGACATTCTACTCAAGTTAAATCTGTGTTTTTGTCACTGGGAAGAGTATGGTTGCCCAAGGTGCATGTGTCCCCAGTGGCTGAGTGCATTTTGGTTAGAGATATACTTTATGGGTTACACCTGCACAAGACAGTTGGAGAATTCCTGCTGAGGATATGTACAGTACAGCCTGTGTTGCAGGGACATGCTAAACATGACCCAAAGGTATTACCCAAGCCAATACATGCAGTCAGTGTGAAACAGTATCACCTGCTGAGTGATCTCACACACAGAAATCAGTGCCACTACAATGGAGTTAGAAAGGGTTGGCATCATTCGTCCCACACATAGCTCATGTAACACCCTGGTATGACCAGTGAAAAAACCTGATGGGACGGGAAGATAACTCGGACTATGGAGAACTGAGAACAGAAAAAGTAGTGCCTCTTTGCATGCAGCTGTGCCTTTAGTTCACAATTTGATAGATCAGCTGACAATTCAGCCAGCAACTCATCATTATGTACTGGACATTGGAAATGTTTTTTTCTCTATCCCAATCTTCCTCATAAGGAAGGAAATGCACTTTTCAAGTGTTACCCCAAGCCTACCTGAATAGCCCAACCGTCTGTCATGGTTTAGTGGCTGGGGACCTAGTCAAGTGGGCTAGGCCCAGCACTGTTTCATTATCTAGAAGATGTCTTACTAACCTCTGATTCTTTTGCAGATTTAACCAAGGCAGCTCCAATGTTCCTAGGTCATTTGGAACAATGTTGGTGGGCCATATATAAGTGTCTTATCCTTTGGATATGTACTTGGCAATATCAGCAGTGGATGGTAGGCCACCAACCACTGTGGGGACAAGGCATGTGGCAGCAATTATGGGAATTAGGACATGGAAAGGAAGTAACTCTTTTCCTTGTCACAGGCCATTTTCCCTTAGCCAGTCCAGGCAATGATGAAGCTGATGCACTGGCTAAGATAAGGCAGCTGGAGAGAGCTCCAGCCGCTGATGTAGCTGAGTGGCTACACTGAAGAATGCAGCATGCTGGCTGCAAGACCACATGGTCTATGGCTCAAAGATGGGCCCTACCTATAAAATGGGAAGATGTAGTAAGCGTGTGTCACATTTGTCTGGTGTATGCTCAAAAGTGTCCACACCCCTGGCAGATGCTGCATGCCGATGGGCAAATAACCCATGAAAGGGTGCCCCTGACTCAACGGCAAGTGGATTTTGTGCAACCACTACCAAGGTCAGAGAATTTCAGGTGTATCTTCACAGCCATTGGTATGGCTACAGGTGTCCTGTTTGTAAGGCCCCAGACAAGGCAAGCACTATAAAGTTACTGATTAGCCTTATGGTCATGTACAGTTGGCCCCTGGTCATACAGAGTGATAACAGAAACCACTTTCCTGGACATGAAGTACAGAAGTGGGCTTCTCAGTTGCCCATTCAGTGGAAGTTACATGTGATGTTATCATCTCCAGGCAGTGGCAATGATTGAAAGGTACAATGGTCTTTTAAAAAAAGGGACGAAGGGCCGGCCCGGTGGCGCACTGGATAGTCTTCAATCTCTGCATTTA